CAGACTTGATGAAATTTAAAAAATGACCAGACAGTAGGAATAAGTTTAGGAATACTGTTAATGATAAAAAAGATAATCGCATGTGTGGTTTTGTTTTTATGTTTGATCTGAAGAAGCTTATTTTGGAGTATTCCTGGTATGAATTCTTGTTGCCTACCCAAGACAAAGTTAATTGCAATGATCAGTATCTTTACAAGTATACAAGTAGATGTAGGTGCAAAAGGACATTTTTTTTCCTTGAGTAAGACATAAAACAATCTAGGAATGCTCACTAAAACAAAACAAAACAAAGAATTTAGGTATTTTTTTAACAAATACTAAAAGTATGGAGAACTTATCAAAGTGGTGGGCTGTCTCTCTACCAAAATAGAATTTTCCAAGACATATACTTTAGCTAAACATGAGATTTTCAAGAGAAAAGCTGGAACAATTGGATAGCCTATAATATTAATGAGCTAATACTAGTTTCTGGGGTATTAAACATCAGACCATGAGGAGCAATGGTATATTCTCTATAATACAGTATCTTAAAGAAATTGACAGATTTTTAAGTTAAGCATTTTAGTACAGGTAAATCAACAGCAGAATTCCTGTTAAATGCACCCTTAAAAGTGCTGATAAACAAATAAATAAATTAAAATATTTTAAATCTTATTGAAATTTACAAAGAAAACACTCAAAAAAAAGGACTATTTTCTTTGACTAATATATTAGCAACTGAATAAGGAGTATATGATCATTTATGCATGTAATACAAGTATTTTAATTTTAGGTTTTAAAATATTTTTTTCTGAAGTAACTAATTTACAGATAAACTTGTCATATGTATTTTTGTACAGACAGAAAGACCCAAAGTGCAACCCAACACTCACTGAAGCCTATTAGAAACAATCCGTTAGAACAATAGACACTGTATCAAACATAGAAATTAAATAAAGTGACAAATAATAGGGTAGGAGGAAGCAGTGGAGGAGAAAATTCAGAAGAGATATATAATGGATTATGCCAGCACAATAGTACAGTACAATTACTATAGGTGTGGAAGTTTCAATGTTACACAAAAAGGGCGTTTGTGGAATACCTATTGTGAATATGACATGCATTTTAAATTTCTTTTAATGCATTTCTAGAATTAGTTACTAAGGTTGCATAGTCTTTACAAAGGAATTACATGGTATTACAGGTGTCAGGAAGGTGTCCGAATATGCCATTCCAACAATTTTGCAATGCATAAGAAATAATTATTAAAAGTAGCTATGAAAGAAATCACAACAATTATTGAGTGAATATTTTGTCAATGCAAATATTTAGGATTAAAATGTGAGATGTGTGAAAATTACAAGCAAGTACATGATTACCTGGAAAGCATTTGTTCTTTCCATCAGGAAAAACTTGATCCCAATTGCTATTTTATCATTAAATAGCAAATGTGGTCCTATGAATTTCCCATTACAAATATAGATAGATTTGCCATAATCCCTTTAACTTAATTTAAATGAAAACTCTCTCTTCCACTTTGCATACTCATTCCTCCTCTTTTTTGCAGTGACTAAGGAATAAAGTAGAAAATAGCTGTGTAAATTGATTCTGTTCATTTCCTGCTTGGAAAGAGAAAAAGAACATTTCACTGTTCTTTTTTTTTTTTTTTTCCTTTCATATTATTCTCTAAAACAAGAAGGAGGAAAAGTAGGGCAGTCTTTTGTAAAATGCTTATGCCAAATTAAACAGGCTCTAGGCCATGCTGATGACAATTTTCATTATTGGACTGAATGAATGGATGAGAACAGAATACTAAAATCTACTGTCTAATTTTCTGGAAGTCCACTGACTTTCAATACTTTAGTTCTTTTGCTATTTCCACTTCTTGTAATTAGGAATAGATCTATCAACCTCAGCCACACACACCCTGCCCTAACTTCTCTATAGGTATATAACCATCCAGCAGCTGGGTTCACAGCAGGAACTGGAAATATTCAACAGATAAAAATGAAATCATCTTTCTTCAACTTATCCCTGAAAGGATAGACATTGTGAGCTCAAGTTGTAGGAAACTAAGAGTATGAGGCAAACATAACAACTCCCCCCATTTCTTTAGAAGAAGGTCTCCTGTTGTATAGGCATTCTTGGACTGGGCTTTTGTTTCTGCCATTGTGACACTTACAAACTGGATAATTGCAGGTAATAAACATGCACGCCAGTGGACATATATACACCTATGAATGTGATGCTTGCAATTCCAGACCTACATTGGATGGCAGAAATAAAGTCAACAATTAGTAAGAAAATAATGGAAAAATAATACAGATGGAGGGTGACCAGGTCAACAGAAGAATAAACCTGGTTAGATTATAAAGAGCAAAATTCAAATGCCTGGTGCAGGGGCAAAAATAACCCCCAGTGTCCAACTAGTTACATCCAGCAGAGGTAGCAATTTCTCTAATTCATCCAGACTAACAAGCATCATTCTCTGCAACATATTCCTTTACACACTGAAGTGCTATTCAAGTGTTGCTCGGTTACAACTTATTTTCCTAGCTGATTAAAATGTTGAGTATTAAAACTGGCACTGGTTCAACCATCAGTGTTCATTAAATTACTCAGGAGATGTGGACTGTGATAGTAAGGCCCATGAGGTAAAATGAAATGTTCTATTTATCAAGTCATACCCTGCTGTGCTATTCATTTGGTAATAAAAACTTTATTTTCTCCACTTGTGTCCTCTTTCATTAATGAGATAAAAAGCATAGTCATTTTATTAGTTTGTACAAATACCTGAACAATCAATCAAAAGCCAACAACCCTATATAAAGCTACTCTGGAATAAAAAATAAGAGTTTATTTTTTGAGAAATAATTATGTTCCTTTTTGTAGTTGCATGGTAGTTGCATAATCAGTCATCACATGTATCAAAGTGATAAATATCTATTATCTGACAGAGATCGTTCTAATAATGTAAGGACAAAAGTTTCAGTTGTGCACCTCCGATATATTTGTTGTGCCCCTTTCTACATGATTTTTGTAGTGAAGAAGTAACAGGAGTGGTTCTGTGAGAAGCTGCTAGAAGCTTTCCCCATATCTAACAGATTCAATGCCAGCCAGCTCCAAGATGGACCTGCTGCTGGCCAAGGCCAAGCCCATCAGTGATGGTGACAGCATTTCTGGGATAATGTAGTCAAGAAGGGGAAAAAACCCTGCTACAACACCAGCAGAAGTCAAAGGAGAGGAGTGACAATATGCAAAAGCAGCAACTCTGCAACCCCCAAGGTCAGTGCAGAAGGAGGGGAGGAGGTGCTCCAAGTGCCAGAGCTGACATTTCCCTGCAGCCAGTAGTGCAGACCATGGTGAAGCAGCTGTGCCCGTGCAGCCCCTGGATGGCCACAGTGAAGCTGAGATCAACCTGGAAGGCTTCAGGCCAGAGCAGGTGGATGGGTGAAGGAGACTGTGATACCAATGCTAGAGAAGGTTGGCTGGCAGGATTTGTGACCACATTGGGGACTCTGCTCCTGAAGTACTGCATCCCATGATGGAGCAATCTGTGAAGAGCTATAGCCTGTGGGAAGGAGTTGTGTTATAGATATTGTGGAAGACTGTCTCGTGCAGGAGGGACCTCTACACTGGAGCAGGAGAAGAGTGTGACAAGTAGTCCGCCAGCAAAGGAAGGAGCAGCAGAGGTTTGTGATGAACCCACCACAAGCCCTGTACCTCGTACCCCATCTCCCTGCACTGCTGGGGGACAGAAGGTAGAGAGATTGTGAGTGAAGTTAAGCCACATGCTTAGTCCTAACTTTGAGGACCTCAGGACTGATGCTTGTGAGGCTCACTCTGAACTTGTCTTGACCTGTCTGGAGTTTTTATCTTACCTGGTTTTGCTGTAGCAGCAACTTACTTCTCTTGTGATCAGGAGTCTATGTCTAAGTGGTGTTACTTTTGCTTATCTCTGTTTGATACACCATTATTTTTATACAGATAACAGTAACAAGCAGTTATTCTTTATAAATTAAAAATTTATGACTGTGACTTGATAATGTAGTGTGGAGAAATATATGCCTCTTATAAAAGCAGAGGTCCAGAGAAGTGGAAAAATAGGGTGCAGCATAAGGGAGTACAGGCATGGGACATTAATACATGGTTCATAGGCTTGATACTGGTCATAACCCCATCCTTATAAACAATTAACCAGCAGTCAGTTAGAGAAGTTCATAACTAGACAAAAACAGTTTGAAGAGTAGCAAGGAGAACTGTAGGAACACAACCAGCTAGGATGAATAGTGGCTAACCTCGGTGGCATATACAGGAGGAACCAACCTAAGACCACAGAAAGCAGGATACTGAAAGGGGGATATCTTGTCAGGTCATGGTGAGAGGAGTGTGGTCATGGGAGTTAGTATGTTAATGGAACTATTCTCTATTCGGTCATGTTTCTGGTTCTTGTTCTCAGTTGGTTTGGAACCTGTCACATATAAGGTCGTGTTCTGAATTCATGTTCGTGATTGGACCCCTGCTTTCAGAATACCCAAATATATTGTTATGTTTGCCACGCCCTCCAGTCTTTGGATCTTGCTCCTCAGATAATGTGGTTTCTGCATTTGTTATTTTGCTATTCAAGTTGTTTTTTTTCAGGTAAGTCCATTGTTTCCATCCCTCTATTTTTGCCATGTTCCCCCTGCCAGACTGGACTCAGGGTCCCAGTGAGCCAGGCTGCAATGGAAAACAAATAGGAAATAGCTTGTACCATATTTAGCATATTTGAGTATAATGTGAACTTGTTGACCAATCAAGAAACACCAAGGTCTAAAGCAGATTAGCAAATATTAAATTGAACTACAGCCTGGAAAGGGAAAGAAAAACAACAAGCATTATAGTCATCCTTGGTGAAGGACAAGGGACACTGATGACTCATTGGTCTCTACCCCAACAGATGCAAGGCATCAATATTACCACCCCAGAGAGAAGTGAAGAGTAATTTAAAAAACCCCAAACCACACGAGAGATAAGTTCCAGGAAATGTGAGTAAAAAAGGTAAATGTGTTCCTATTAGTACTTAGAACTGTTCTGTAAAAGAGAATTGAAAAAAAAAAAAATCTTTTTCTTCTGGTGAGTTGACTTTGGCTGGCTGTCAGATCCCCACCCAGAAAATCTTACTTTCTGTCCTCAACAGGGCAGAAGAAGTAAGGAAAAATAAGATGCAGTATATTGTGACTTCAGATAAAGACAGATCACTTATAAAGTACCAACATGGGCCAAAAGAGACTCAGTTTGAGAATACTGATCTAATTTATTGTCAATTAAAATAGAGTTGGATGGTAAGAAAAAAAGTCTAAATTACTCTCCCCTCTCACCTTTTTCCTGGCTCAACTTCATTGTTTCATTGATGACTCTTCCTCTTCCATCCATCCAAAGCAGTGGAGAGGGAGGGGGAACAGAGTCCATAGCAGGTAATCTCCAGTACTTTTCATGCTTTCCCCCCCTCTCCAGCATGGTCTCTACATGGGCCACATTTCTTTCAGCAGTTACTCACACAGACAATTTCCAGCTCCAACCCACCCACGGCAGGGCACTGCTGAGCCCAGCCGCCAAGGTGGTGGTGCCTTGGGGAAAATGTATTGAAGAAAGTTGGGGAAACATCACTGAGGGAGGAGGAAAGGACAAAAAGAAACAGCAGAAGGTACACCAAGGGGAGGGAAGAAGGAGGGGAGGAGGTGCTCCAGGTGAAGGAGAAGAGACTCCCCTGCAGCCCATGGAGAGACCATGGTGAGCAGATATGCACTCTGCAGCTTGTGGATGGCCATACACTGCAGCATGTGTGCATCTGATGAAAGAACTGTGGCCTGTGGAACCTCACACTGCAGAATGGGAAAAGCATGAACAAAAAAAGCATTGGAAAGCAGTGTTAATGTATTGACTACAATCCCCCTTCGCCTGCACTCCTCATTCTTCCATGAGTGGTACTTAGGTAAAGCTGAAGCAGTATTTGTTCTAGAGATTTCATACATTTGTAGGAAATACAGAAAGTACTGTTATAGGGTGTAAGGATTTCTATAATTAGAGATAATTATAGCTATGAATAACTACTCCATCATTTTCTATATAAAGAGCAGTGATAGAAAAATAAGTGAATAACTTATTGGAATTCACATAACTATTACAGTAAAAAATTAAATCAAGCATTTCAGACATTTAGGCCAGTAGTATAAACAGAACATATTCTGCCTCTTTTAGTGTACCAGTACGGTATGTTATGGATGCATTGCCTCCCTGGGATTA